GTTTACACTTCGCTTGAGAAGTGCCAATCCTTTCATGTTGGGTTCTCCATGGATAATGGCGAAAGAAGCAAGCATCGCTGTTAGCTTGGTTTCCCATGAATATGTGGACAGCGTGCTTAATAGATAGATTGCGGTTGAGTGTAGACCTTGCTTGCTAAAACATTTCAATACTATCTAAAAATGAAATTATCAAAATTAAAGAAAGTGACAAAAAAGATCATGTTAGCTTCATTTTACATAAACTTGTGAAGTAGAAAGTCCTCCAACTAAATACTATGACTGAGCTATTGTTGGGCGGAGGCCGATAAGGGTCAAGTCCAATACTTTGACACTCGAAAAATGTGTTACAATACAAAGAAATAAAGTTGTGTTTTCGTTAATATGTATAGTTTTTAATAACGTTTTGGTAAGCGTTTAATCCTAGCAGCTATATACTATAAAATTTGGGGACATTCTATACTAAATTAAATACACGTACATAATACGTTCCCCACGCACCCAACACACACACACACACACACACACACACACACACACACACACACACACACACACACACACACACACACACACACACACACACACACACACACACACACACACATATATATATATATATATATATATATATATATATATATATATATATATAATGAGTAGGTTAACTAACCTTTATGAGGATGAAAATATTATCCGCAATAGGATGCATAAAATTGACATTGAAATCTCTGCCATCAAGGCCGTGTGCTTCTACCCAAGCATTCTCCATTTTAATGAGTATAGTTGGTAGCTGCCTCTGAAGTTCTGAGAACATCATTGCTAGTTTAATTTGTGAATTGTGACAGAAAGGGGGTTTAAGTTGTACATTTTTTTTTTGGGTACATTGGAGGGGGCAAGGCCCCCATTATCTAATTCTACGAGTTCGAGCACCTCCTGAATCGGCCAAAAGAAGATCCATGATGCAGTCCGGCGGTTCTTCAAGAATGGAAGTCCCTAGACTAGTGTTTTGTCCCATATTAGCGAGTCTGTCTGCACATTGGTTGCCTTCCCTGAAGGTGTGGGCAACTTTAACCTTTCTCAAATTAGCCATTAAGTACATGCATTCTGCCACCATGGGGGAGTCAGAATGATCCAGCTCGGTATCCTTATTCAGAATTTTTGCAAGGGCGTCGTTGTCCACCTCGACAATAACCATATCCAAACCTTTTTGTTTTACTAACTTAAGGCCTTCACGAATACCCTACAGTTCAGCCATAAAACTGGAGGATATGCCGATGTTTGTTAGGAACCCCGCAAGCAGGCCCCTTTAGCGTCTCGAACTAGCCCCCCGGCGCTAGCGTGGCCGGTGTTGCCTTTTCTCGCACCATCTGTGTTCAGCTTCACCCAACCAGTCGTCGGGGGTATCCAACCCACCCATCTACTGATGCTCTTATCGAAGTCATTGCCGATTTTGCGATGGTGACTGAGCTCATTTATAGACATAGTAACACGCCTCACCACCTCGCCTGCTTCCCTCCACGAGTTATTGAAAACGCCCTCATTGCGTGCCTTCCAGATCTCCCATAGCATGTGACAGAAATGGGACCCCCAAGTAGTATGGTTGCGCAGCCAGCCCCTTAACTCGCAGTTATTACGGATCCAAGTCTGAAGGGACCCCATGTAAATAGATTGGAAGCCCGTGGGTGACGCGTATCGCCTCCAGCATTCTTTCGCGAAAGAGCAGGTCTGAAAAAGGTGCCGCAGGGATTCATCCTCTTCACCGCACCTTGGGCAGCCTCCATCAGATGTTATGCCTCTCCTCAATCTTTCAGCATTGGTGAGCAGCTTCCCGTTCCAGACCAGCCACATGAACATCCTTACCCTCTCAATGACCTGTAACTTCCAAACCCAGCTAAGGTCTTCCTTTTCGTCGTTGGAACCTGAGATGAAGTCGTAAGCTGACTTCACCGTCAATCTGCAAGAGTTGGTGTGCGGCCACACGAGCTTGTCCGACACCTTAGGATATTCCACCAATGGCACGGCCCTGATTTGCTCTACCAGGTTTGGAGAAACTGCTTCCTGCAAAAGGTTAACATTCCATGAGTTACCATTAGAGATGAAATCACTTACCTTAGCATGTGCGAGATAGTTGGGGATGTCCTGCGCCGTTGTTAAGCCAAGTGGTTGATCGCCTACCCACCAGTCTGACCAAAAATCGAGCATGTTTCCGTCTCCTACCCTCCACCGAGCTCCTAATTCAATCACAGTACGTGCCTTTGTAATGCTCCTCCAAGTCCATGACGTGCTACCTGTAGGAGTTGCAGTAAAGAAATTTCCATTTCGAATATACTTACTCCACATTGCTTGGACCCAAAGTTTTTCGGGATTATTAATGGTTTGCCAAGCCAACTTTGCAAGAAACGCCATGTTGGCGTCCTTCGCTGAACGCAGCCCCAGCCCTCCAGTGTTGCGCGGTGTGCAGACATCTTTCCAGTTCACAAGGTGGATCCTCTTGGTAGTATCACTATCACCCCATAAGAAATTTCTGCATAATTTATCTATAGTGTCGCATGTGCTACTCGGTAGGGAGAGACATTGCATCGTATAGGAGGGTATTGTTGCTAAAGCCGATTGGACGAGGGTCCTCCGTCCGGCTAGACTAAGCGAGTTTACCTGCCAATTCGAGAGTCTATTTCGCATTTTATCCAAGATATATTGAAAATTACCTTTTGAGACCCGGGCTTGGAGGATGGGGATCCCCAGGTAACGACCAATGGATTCCGTGATGGGTATGTTTGAAATCTCCCCTATCCTTCGTTTGGTCCAATTTGAAGTATCAGAGGAACAATAGATAGAAGATTTGGCTAGATTAATGTTCAGACCTGACCGGGAAGAGAACTCCTTCATGCAGCCCATCATGGTTTCAATTTGGTGTTCCGTAGCCATCCCGAACAACATAAGATCATCTGCGAAAAAGAGATGGGAAACGCTAATCCCACCTCTCGTGAGCTGAATAGGCTTCCAATTACCTTCCTTCACACTTTCCTGAATGTCCCACGATAGTCTTTCCATGGCGAGTATGAAGAGATAAGGCGCGAGGGGATCCCCTTGTCGTAAACCCCTCTTCGGTTGTATAAAGGGCAGTTTTTCTCCGTTCCAAATGATAGACATATTAGTGTGGGAAACTATGAAGAGGATTAGCTGCACAAAACTGTCCGGGAAGCCAAAGTCTTTCAACGAGTTGCCCAAAAAAATCCAGTCCAAGCTGTCATAAGCTTTCCGGAGGTCAAGCTTAGCCACTAATGCACCTGTTTTACCTTTCTTTTTGTTCATAGAATGAATAACCTCTTGGGTTAGGATGACGTTATCCATAGTGGATCTACCTGGAAGAAAGCTGTTTTGGTGGGGGCGAATGAGCTTTTGCATCCACGGCCGAAGTCTGTTGACCAGGACCTTAGAGATAATCTTGAAGGCAACATTGAGGAGAGTAATTGGGCGAAAGTCTCCCACATTTTCAGGCCTATCAATTTTTGGAATCAGAGTGATGTGTGCAGTCAGCATACTTTCGGGAATCATGCCCGTCTCAAAGGCGGAATTAACCAAGTTGGTGATGGAGCTGGCCACCGTATCCCAATAGTGTTGATAAAAAGCCGCATGAATACCGTCAGGACCTGGGCTTCCGAACCTTTTCATACTAAAGACTGCACGACGCACTTCCTCGGTAGAAGCCGGATTCATGAGTCTAGACGCTTGGTTGGCGGATAACCTCGGGCCACTGGTGTTGCACGACGTAGTTGTCCTAACTGATTGGTCCCTGTCAAAAAGGCCATTGAAAAAATCATTAATATGTACTTTAAAACAATCCTTATTGGAACACCACTCACCATTAATTTTAAGGAGTCGGACCCGTCCTCTATTTCTGCGGATGGCTGTCGATTTGTGATAGAAGGAGGTGTTTCTGTCCCCATCCTTGATCCAATCCGCTCTAGACTTCTGAAACCAAAGAATTTCCTCTTGATGGAGGGTATCATTGAGATCTTTGATCAGCTTCTTCTCAAGGATTTGGAGCTCCCGGGAGTTGTAGTAAGGGGACTCTTGGATCCCGCGAATATGAGCTTGGAGTCTCCGTTTACGTTTGAAAATGTTTCCAAACGTTTTTTCATTCCACTCTTGGCTTTGTTTAGTGACACGGCTAATAGCCATGACGACATTATCCTCCTGGTCCATCCATGCCTCACGCCATATATCATCATAGTCCCTTCGGGTAAGCCATGCGGCTTCAAAATGGAAGGGCCTATTGTTATGAAGTGGGGCTTCTCCTGCATGAGATTTAAACATTATCGGGTGGTGATCCGAGAAGACTCTCCCCAGGACAAGGGATTTGGCTTCCGGAAAGTTGAGCTGGGCTTCTACATTCCATAGGGCTTTGTCCAATCTTCTCCTCAAAGTCGTTAAACCTCCAACCTGCCGCACCCAAGTAAACTTTGGACCTCCAGCCGCCAAGTCTATCAGGTTGCAAGCATTCATCGCATCCGTAAACTTGTTGGTGACACTACTGCTAATCCTTTCAGTGCCCCATTGTTCTTCTTCAGTAGCGATATCATTAAAGTCCCCGATTGCAATCCATGGTTCCTTCACCTTGTCCGCATAGTCAACGCAAGCTCTCCAAAAGAGCTCTTTCGTCATCCTGCTAGGCCTGACATAGCAAAAAGAGATTCTGACAAAATTGTTAGAGTCCAGAATTACTCTCTCATGAATCACCTGAGAGTTGAATTCCAAGACTTCAAGATTCAAGTTATCCGATTTCCAAAACAGAAGAAGACCCCCCGCGAAACCGATAGGATCCACCATAAAATGCCTATTGAACCCAAGGTTCGTTGCCATCTTCACCATCTTACCCTTGTCCTTCGTTTTAGTTTCGAGGAGGCAGAAACAATCCGGCTTATGAGATGACAAGAGAAGGTTCACGCGTCTCACCACCTTATTGTTCTCGATACCCCTACAATTCCAACAAAGCACAATCATTGGGCAAGAGGAGGAGGGTGAGGGGATTGAGCTGCGCTCCCCCCAGGCATAACAACAGCTTGCGACACCTGATTGTTAGGTGCGGGTTCAAGTTCCATGTTAGAACTCTGTCTCTGGTCACCAAACACGAAGACTGGCGATTTTGTGCCTTTGTCTTGGTTTCTGATCACATTCTGCTCCTGAGACTTTCCAGAAACCTTCCCGGAGACCCGTTGATTGGCCGTCTCCGTGGCTTTCTTTTTCCTCTGTCTCCTTCCGGCCTTGGACGTCTCCGCCTTCTGACCTTCTCCTTCCATGAACACAGGTGCATCATGCAGAGAATCCAGACCCTGCAGAGAAGTTCGAGAGTCAACGTTAGGGGTGGGATACGTAGAAATCTGCTTACCTTTGGCCTGTGTAGCCTTGTTTTTGTCCTGTCTGGTTTCTTTCTGCCGCAGTTCCACAACTCGTTCCCCGTTCGCATCTGCCAAGGTAGAGAATCTGTTGGTATTAGCGGTCTGGCCATTTTGGTGTTGTTTCCTGTGTTTTTGTTTATTCGCATGATTAAGATTCTTCTTTCTCTCCACCAACATCCAAGATCCAAAAGGAGCTTTCTCCCTAGCTGCCTTCTGGACATCTTGTCTGCGTGGATTAATCCCCGGCGATGTTACCTGATCCATGTTATCCACGTTCTGAGTTTCCTCCATGGTGGGGTTGGTAGATAGAGGGCAGGCCATGTCTCTGTGGCCGAATTCACCGCAAGAGAAGCATATCACATGGAGCCCCTCGTACTCAACATATTGGATTTCGCCATTCACCCTTATCTTTGCTACCAGCGGTTTCGTGACATCGACTTCAACCGATGCTCTGGCGAATTGCCCTCTTTCAACACCCGAAGTCGTCCGATCCAGTTTCAACGGTCTGCCGATCTGTTGAAGGATCTTTTTATATGATTTTCTCCAAAAAGTTCAATTGGTAGGTCTGGCAGCCGCACCCAGATGGCCATCTTCGTGATCTTGGCAGTTGCCGGTTTGAAGTTTGGTTGCCATCGTTGCGCAACCAAGTAGTGATTAAAAAGTTTCCATGGACCGTCCATCAAGACGTGCATGCAGTCACGAGCCATCGTGAATCTTGCAACATAGAACCCATAGCCGAGGTCGATCAAATCCATTTTTCCTTGCAATTCCCACATACGTGAGACGCGTTGTTTGAACAATGGGAGAGACAAAGCTTTCCCGAAGAACTTGATGATGAGAGCATTCTTCCAAGGTAGAACTTGTTGTAGGCGTTCCTCTTTGGTGAAGGTGACGGACGGGATCCCATCATCAATGGGTTCCTCTCCAACGCTACCATCCAGATCCCAATTCAGATCTTCTTCAAACCACGATTCAACGCTGACGAAAGGTTCTGCTTCTCCTTCGAACGTCGGCGCCGCCGCAGTGGTTTCAGCAAAAGAGCGTTTAGTGGTCCTGAACCGTTTCACCACCCGCGCGCCACCATCAGCACCTTCCCCCGTCTCCATCGGAGCAGTTTGAGGTGACTCGGTTGCCGCCGGCATGGCCGGAGCCGGTGAGGCCAGAACGGAAAGCGACAAAGATACCTAAAATAAGTCGTTATTTTTAGAGAGAAAATATCCTCATGCAAAAAAGTTGAAAGTGGCCATGAAGTTGTACATTATACAAGTACGAGGATGTCTATAATCCATTTCCTTTATATAGCATATCAAATTGAATAAAGAAGGAATAAATTCCTTGCTTCATGAATGTCTAAAGTTGTATATTAATTTGCCTGCTTCTTTGTAGGCATCTCCTTTAATTTATATAAAGTATATATGAAATTGAATATATAAATCAGGAATTGAAGGAATATATAGCTTCCTTGCTTCAAACGGAACTTATACATACCTACATTAGAGTTTATCACACTTTTGGTCCACGACTATAGTGGCATTATCAGGACTGATCCATGACTTTCGAACCTTGCAATCTCGATTCACGACTTCTTTTTTTTTTTTTACAAAATGGTCCTTCCGACCCATTTTTCATAATTTCTCACCGAAGTAAGAACCATTTCTAACAAAAACGGGCTGGAAGAACCATTTTTACAAAAAATAATAATAATAATAATAATAATAATAATAATAAATAGTCATGGACCGAGATTGCAAGATTTGAAAGTCGTGGATCAATCATGATAATGACACTATAGTCGTGGGACCAAAAGTGCGATAAAATCCATACATTATATATAGAGTTCTACTCGGTGCATCCTCTATAATGTTTAAACTGTTGATCTTATAGTTGCATTGTTATTATGCGTACCAATTGTATGAAACTATTTGGTTAAAATACAATAGAATAACCTTAATGGCACGTTTAGTTCGCGGAATAGGTCTGGAATGGAATACCATTCCCAGTAATAGACCTATTCCTTTGTTTGGTAAAAATATCTATTCCCAAGAACAATGTTCATGGGAATGACCTATTCCCCTTACAAGGGGAATAGAGATTACGGGGGGCCCTGGTATTCGGCTATTCCTAAATTCTCAGGAATAGCCTAAAGTTGTTATTTCCTATTTCACCCCTATTAAATTTATTTATTTCTTATTTCACCGCCATCGCCATAGCCGTCACGACCAGCACCACCATACTAATTCACTATAACTCAACCCAATTTTATAATAAAGATCTACCAACAAATAACAAACAAAAACACAATCAATATCAAATTCCAGGCACAAATTAAAAACACCAGGCACCACCAACTGGCTTCCTATTTCATATTTTACCCCTAATCCTCCGCTCATGGTGATGCACATCCTCAATTTGGTGATCGGAGGTCGGCAAAAGCTTCTCGCAATCACAACCGGAGTCCATGCATGGCCAATCGGAGGGTGGCGATGGAGTGGGGGAGGCATCGTGATCAAGGCCCTGTGATCAAATCGTGCGATCCACGGAATTTCTGGAGTCTGTTGTGCCGTTTGGGTTTATAAACTAGTCGCAACTCTTTCACTTTTTATAATAATAATAATTGTTAGTGTTTTATTTTGTTCAAAAACTCCAACATATAATTGGCAATATTATTATGGCAAATTAAGATAGGGTTTAGCTTGATGTCTGTTTTCTCTTACAGAAGACTGATTGATCAGGTTCATCAACAGACGCACTGACACTGAAGATCTGATAAAGGGAGATATTTCCAAAAATGCTGAACGCGGTTTGAGAAGACAGTTTTGGAAAGAATATCAGCGGATCTGTTTTGAAAGGTATGGACCGATTCTTAAAGATTGCATTCTTGACAAATAGTCCTACCATCTACAATCAAAGATATTTTTGGAGAGTATTCTTCCAAGGAAGTATAAGTATCCTCTTTCGGTCAAGAATTAGGGTTACGAGTTTAGAAGGCAAAAGCACTACATGCTACACAGAAACATACATCTTTGATTAGCATGTCTCTTCTCAAGATAATGAGTTCTTGGTGATTATGAAGAAGAACTTGAGAAGAACCAACGCTGCTTAATCGAAAGGACGCGAAGATCACTCAGTTGTGGGAACAACGTGGGACTGCGTCATTGAAGCGGACTGCATCAGAGTTAGCTCTCCAATTGAAGGGATTTCATTGGACTTCTGCATGCGTGGCTCTTCGACTTCAACAATCCACTAAACCTTTGTAGACTGGGTACGTACCTTGTGTGGGGCACTTGGGTGAGATTATATTTTCTCTATCTTTGTACATTGGATTATGAGTTAGTGGATTGGACACCTCGGTGATCGTCCCCCAGATGTAGATACACACTGTATCGAACTGGGTAAACATCGTATGTGTTGTGTTATTATCTGCTCTAGTTTTCCTCCATAAACTAATCCGCAATCTAACTAACGGTCTGACTATTCATGTCTCTGAATCAGTCATATCAGTCGATTATCTCTTATAATAATCTTAATATGAGGAAATGCAAAATTACATGTGGTATCAAAGCTTTTAAGTCTGCATAGTGACTTGATCCTTACGGGAAGATGTTTTTGCATTGTTCTCTCTTTAAGAAGCTGTTTACTTGGTTGTCTGTTGGCTGTTAGACTGCTCTCTACGTGTGTGTTTTGCCTGGCTGTCTTTTGAGTCAGGATGGATGCAAGTATGAAACCACCAGAACTGGATGGTCACAACTATTCTTTCTGGAAGGCTCAAATGGAGATTTATCTTCAGGCACAAGGCACCAGAGTGTACCGTACTGTTCTCACTGGATTGAGTCCTCTGACTGTTCAGAATGCTGATGGAACTGCTGAGACCAAACCTATGGAGACATGGACTGAAGATGAGATGTCGTCATCTGATCTGAACAATAAAGCACTTAACTCTATTGTAGTATCTCTGCATGAATCAGTCTTTACCTTGGTCACAGGGACAAAAGAGGCAAAACGAGTATGGGAAATTCTTGAGACCAGATTCGAAGGTACCAGTGATGTCAAGCAGTCAAAGCTTCAGATGGTTCTGTCAGAGTTTGAAGCACTCAGGATGAGTGAAGAGGAAACTATCTCAAACTTTCATAGTCGGGTTCAGAGTTTGATGAACAGAGCTTCAGTGCTTGGTGAACCATTCACTGATGAAAGAGTTGTCAAAAAAATCCTTCGCTCCCTACCCAAACTGTAACACCCCGGAATTTTGAAACTTTTAAAACTTATGTAACAAAGGTAATTTCTCATTAAGTCCCGAAAGTAAACATAAGAGTACGGGGTGCTATGCCACACCTGAGTTAGAGAGCTCAGGTGCACAGGCAAACTAACTAAAATCCTCAAAGTAAAGTCAGTACATGAACATGGCACGCAGGCCGAAAAGGGGAAACTAACTACTCTACGCTTCAGGTCTCTAGCGCGCTCCAGTGTCTACTCAGCTGTGCCTGAAAGCCAAATATATCTGTTCAGCGAGAGATGCTGGTAACCCACTCCAACGCGTTGAAATACATTATACATAGATATATATAGATATACGAAAATCATTTTGAATCACAAAGATATATACTTAAGAGGCACTAGTTTCAAAACCAGGAACGGACTCAGCAAATAGGGTAAGCACACACATAATAATAATAGAATCATCATAAAGGATATGCAACTAAGGTCACAGTCTATGTCCACATCAATCATATCATCATTTAATCATCATTCTAATCATCATTCAATCATCATTCAATTATCATTCACTCATCATTTCAATTATCATTCAATCATCATTTGTGACACTCAATCACACTGCTCTGGCGCCACGGGACCAATCGCATGCCCCGAACATAAGGGTTAATGCGTATAGCATTAACACGGCCCTGCAGCACCCTACCTCATACCGCGGCATGAAGGGAGTTGATCACAACCAACCCATAGAGGACCGCTGACGAACTCAACGTCGGACCACAATCCGACACACCGCTGACGCGCACAGTCGGTGGACCGTGATCCCTTTTACAAGGGGGGACTTACGACCCTACACACCGTTGATGCGTACAGTCAGTGGACCGTAGCGGATCAAGCCCGACACACCGCTGAGCTAGACACAGTCGGTGGGCAAAGATCCTCGGAGACTACGGCCCTACACACCACTGTCCCATCACTTGGTGGATCGCAGCCAGCCGTAGCCCTACACACCGCCTGATTACTCAGGTTGGTGGACTACAGCCTTCCTCGGTTTCTTGGCCCTACACACCGCCTGGCGCGTCCAGGTCGGTGGGTCAGAACACCGAGGCCCATGTGGATCGCAGCCCAAGAAGTGAGTCAGTTCGGCCTTCAGCCGACTTCTGAGCCTTAGCTTAGGAACAATCCATTTGGCCTTCAGCCACATCCGAACCTTTAGTCCGGGAACAATCCATTCGGCCTTCAGCCGACTTCCGAACCTCAGTCCGGGAATCACCCAATTTGTCTGTAACCAAAATGGGGGATCATGCAACACATAACACATAGGAGCACGTAATAACATTTTGGGAGGGGAAGACAAATAAATAAACTTACGTGTGGTTGTTCACATACTAAGAATAGTCCTAAGGGCTCATACAACTTCCACCTAGGTCAACGGGTTACCAATTCTACTAGCATGCAATCCCTAAGACTCATTTAACCTACGAATGGTTCCCGCAACATCAAACTAGACTCAAGCACGACAAACGGGATCCGTTGGGACACCATGGGGGAGCGGGGAAGCCGAAGACCCGGGGTGGGGAACGGACCAGCGGGTAGCCGGTGGGTGGGGGTCACCCGCCGGCTGCCCGCCGGAGGGCACTGTTCCGGGCAGCGGGTTGCCGGCGGGCAGGCGGTTGCCCGGTGGCTGCCCGCTGCCGGGTGGTGTCCTTCGGGCAGCGAGTAGGTGGCGGGTTCCCCTATCCCCCACTGACTCTTTTCTCATATATTCCTCCCGGGAACCTTTGTGGAACCCGAAACCATGCTTAGACACTTTTAAACGCGAATAACGACACCACGTATGCAATTAACAAATCAAAAGCAAGAATCACGTAGGACTCATCCTATCACGACTTCTAAATATAAACAACACCCGAACATGCGAATTTCCATCCAA